AATTTTAGCCAATCGTTCCCAGAGCAATATTACAGTTCGTAGTCATTAAGACTAGACTGTAATTTGCGGGGTCACTGGGTTAACCCCGGAATTTGAACATTTGATATTATAAGAGCCTCCCGGCCTTCATTCCACCAAGTATCAAGTATTTATATCTTCCTGGTGATGTATAGTCGGTTCCCAAACCAGATCTTTAAAGCTGAACTGGGCTTTAGGAGGATTAGGACAATCATTCCATAAAGTTCTGTTGTGAAGTCTGCAGGATCCAAAACTATTGAGTTATTTTATGATTTCCCTCTTTGTTGAGCGAATCTTTTAGGTCACTTAATGTGTCACTCATCTGCATTGGCAAGCCAACGAAAAATCTACCCCCAATAAATGAGTTCCAAAACTCAATTAATTCCGGTTGTGTATAATCGATATCACGCCTTTTTAAGTCGTTAGATCAACGTATCCGACATCAAAACCATTTAGGAACTAAATTAAATATCCTTTGTAAATGAAATGGCTTTTATCTTTTGCGAGCTGAACGCAAGAGAAACCAATAAAGGCTGCCCTTTCACCGACAGAAAAATTTGAAATTTCAAACTTGATCGTCTCGAATCCAAGTTCATGGGCCTCAAAACTCGATGTTTTAACATTAATTTAACGTAAACTGGTCTCATGTCATGCGTGAAATGAAAAGCTTCAGCGATATTTCGAAGTGTTTTCGCAACACTAAGACCCGCATAGCATGATCCATATTCAAATTGGATTAACTTCTAGATTTGTTTTTGTTTACTTGGCACTGAAAATTTAACAGGCTCGGCTGGTTTATTGAATATGAAACCCGAAGAATCACTGAAGCGTGAAATGAACAACTACGCACTTACAACAGTAAAATCATGTTTGTTGTTTGGGATTCAGTGCGGTTTAGCTGTGTTTAACCTTGTCTTCACCAGGAAGCATGTGCCAATTAATTGATCCACGTTAATTACATTTTCATGCCAAACTTTAATAAAAGTTTGCACTGCAGCATTCACCAAAGCTACTAAGAGTAACATTATCCAAAAGTTTTCCAGTGCATACTTTCCACCCGTTCAATGTTGGCTGAGATAAAAGAACTAAAAATGCGCTTTTAAGGCATAAATTGCAATTATTATGCAAACACGGCCTGTTTCCACATATTATGTTCTCATTCCACTTTATATTAAAATTCAGCAACCCAGTCATGAACTAACTTTTGCCCCATCAAATGCGATTAAATTTAAAAGCCAGAAAACTCGGGCTCGCATGTGGAAAGAAACACTTCTGCACTGGATTTGTGCTTTTCAACTAATTTAAAAACATAAAACCGATTAAAACTTTCCGAGCAGATTTATCCAAATGAAAGTGGAAATTTATTTTTGGAGCGCGGTTATCGAAGATTCAAAGCAAACGTAGCAAGAATAATAATATTTTTTGTAGAGAAAATGGTTATCGGGTTTTGATCGTCCACACGTCCGAATAAAACATCTTCAATCCTGCACGGTTTTTCGTTAAGAATATGGAAAATTGGAAGCTTTGATATCATTTACCAGTGCTTTTAAATATCCCTAAAGGATCGCGAAAATGGAATTCTAAGACATCTCAAATTGCTTTTGTGGGGTCCTGGCTAATAACAAATAAGTCTCTTCGTACCCTCTTCGCGTGTTCCACTGACAGGGGTCCAGTTATTTCGGCTGTTTTATGCTTTTCGACTAGCAGGCCCAATCTACATAAAATATTCATCTATATATATCATTAAAATTTCCTGCTTTTCTTGCAAGCAGGCAAGTCTAACAAGCGACTTCAAGGGTTTAATATGATATGGGATAGGTTGAGATGGAACAATAATTAATAAAGCAGATTTGCACAACAAAAAACAGCTCCTTAAAAGGCATCATTAAAGGAAACGATAGCAGGAATTTGTACCTGCTCGGCTCATTGTGGCACGTGCCAGTTTAGCTACCCGGGAAAATTTAATTTGTATAAATTTCCGAATCGGAGTTGAAGTCAATCAAATTAGTTGTTTTAAAGGGGGAAGAACTTAGTAGTAAATTCTGATATGAAAACATTGATTGAGAATTTTGCTGCATCTAACACGGAAATTTCAACTTTCTTCATTGAAAGCGCAAGCATATTTTCCTAATTTAAATTTTCATATAACCATAAATTCTTGAACATATTTATCAATGATGCAATTTTGCAAAAAGGGGACAAAATATTTCCTCTGTTGATTTCAGTTTAGGTGTAATTGTTGAAAAAAACCATAATTTTTTAAGCCGTCATTTTTAGTTCAAAATTTGCAAAGTTATCAAAGTTCTGGTTTATTTTATCCAAGGCTATAAAACTTTCAAGTTAAGACCTGTTTTAGATTAAAAGATAGGGATTGTTAAACACAGCCATTCATTTTGGTCACAACCGCAATTTTTAATCCAGATTTAGCAATTTAGCAAAAAATTATCAAGGTGCGATTGGTTTCATACCAATTTTGTTCGTTTATAGGCTCAACTGTGGTCAGTCCACGGCGAAAGTTTCAGGTCGATCCCGGCTTTATGGTGAAAGTTACGAATTTTTAAACGCAATCATGCATTTTTGTTGAGACCGTCAATTTGGTGCAAAAGTTACGAAAAATCAGGATTCTCCGAGACTGAAATAAAATTTTGCCAATTTTTTGAAGGCGCGGTTTGCTCTGCACTGGGAAAACTTCCAATCGATTCCTGCTTTGATTGTTGAAAGTTACGAATTTTTGAACAATTTTGACACAATCTTTACAAAGTTATCAAAAATCAGCATTCGCTATGCGGCTAATGATATTGGTCTGGTTAATAGAGTCAACTATTTTCTCTAGACTGTAAAAATTCCAAGCTGTTGGCTTTTTTAATTCACAGTTACGAATGTTTGAACGCAGCCATGCATTTTTGTTCAAAGCCTCATTTTTGGTTCTAGAGTTTGCAAATTATCAAAAATCAGGATTTGCTGCGCTTGGAGTGAAATTTTTGCGAGTTTTTAGATTCAGCTGTTCCTTCGAGGCTTTGAAAGGTTCAAGTTGATGCCTAATTTATATTGAAAATTGCGACTTTTTAAACGCACCCATGCATTTTTGTCAAAACAGCAATTTTTGATCCAGACTTTGCAAAGTTATCAAAAATCAAAAATTCAGTGAGATCGGATTGAAATATGTGTTGAAATCTAAAAAAAATATCATATCAAAATAGATCAGTTTCGTGTTGTTCTGTTCGGTTATAAAAACGTTTTCAAGCTTGGCCCGGTTCTCCGAAAAAAAAAACTGCTAAATGTTTGCTAAAAATTATCCGCAATAGGGGATGATTACTTTGCAATATAGCCCGTAAAGAACAACAGTCCTTTTTGTTGAAGTTTTGTCATATTTTAACGACAAAATCTTTCAGAGCATCGTAAGATTTCGATTTTTCTTCTTTTGCCCAAAGTTCTCTTGTTTCCTTTTACTGAAATATTTCTTAAATTATTGTCTATTACAAGTGCATTTTGAAAATCACCATTTTAGGCGCGTTTTCATGCAACATTTAAACGTATACTCGATCTCCGTTCGAATGGCATTCAGTTGGCATTTGAGCAACTGAGTAAAAACGTGGATTTAAACGTCTAAGCTGACAAAGTCGAGTCCAGTTGCGCAATTTTAATAAAACATTTTTCAGAAAAGTCAGTAGGAATTTAATGTACTATCAACCAACCTCGCCAGCCGGAATCCGTTTCTATAAAATCGCATTGTAAGTTTTTCTTCGGCATTTTTGGCCAGCCATCGGTGATGAGGGTTTTCCAATACTGAAGTTTTACTCCAGAGACTTTCAGATTATTAAACTCCAGTCAACTAGCCACGCTACGTGCTTAGACTTAATATATGGGAATGATTTCTAAAGATCCTCCCGAACAAAAAACGGGCAGTGGTTCTGATATTTAAACCCGTTTTTCTACTGGAAACTACTTGAATATAAAGTGTGGAAATTCACTGTTGAAAGAGCCACTGTTCTCGCTTATGAAAAATCAACAACCATCATAAGACGAAAAACTGAACGTAATTATTTTGAAGTTATCAGCATTTAATAAATGCGCTATATTTGGACCTTATTTCATTGATGCACATCTTAATCACGCACCAGCCAGGCAAATTAACTTTTCCGATAAATGTTTACGTTTTTCCAAAATAGCAAAATGTTCGGCACCCGATAAAGCCCAACGACGCACGTAATTTTCGTCCTAAATTAGGGAATTACGTGCTACCACGCACCTGAAATTCCATTCAAAGTTCGACATTCGGGGCAAATTAATAAAAAAAAATGTAATTACAAGTTTCGTATCTTTATCGAAGCTTTCATCGGCAGTGAAAGTCGAATGCAGACTTTTGAAGTTGGAAAAGGTCATTAATTGCTGGTATTTTCACATAGGGAATTTCATGGCATTATAACCTGAATGGAACTCAATTAATAAATTGGAGTTTTGTTTTAATTATGTCTTGAATTAAGGTTCTTAAATTGTGGTTCTTTTTGAATCTGATGTAAATAAGTACAGGTTTCGAGGTTCGGAAATTTCAGGCACCCCTGGAACGGTTTTGAGCCTATTAGCCCTCATCAGCTGGATACAGCCTCCAAACAACACTTCTGAAATAAAGTATAAGTTTCTGAAGTGTTATTTTCAGGAGATTTTCAACACTCGATAACTCAACTCTACACACGATTTTATTTAACTGTAATTCTTTAAAAAAAATCAATAATAAAATTTTAAAGCTAACAACCAATCGAAGAGGAAAACAATACATAAATATTATCTGTTTTATTTGGTGAATTAATTCCGAATCAAATCCGTGCTTTGAATAATAATAAGTATATTGCTTCCTATTAGGAACAATTGTTTGGTTCATATTTCAGGATAATTCTGTTATTATATTGCCTGAACCGCACAATTAACATGTTTTTTTTCATTTATTCCATTGAAAAAGTAAAGCAAAAAAACTGTAGACTTACCTGTAGGTCTACAACGTGAGGTCTGCTCTCAGTGAAAGTAGCAGCATGTCTAAACTTTTGTCTAGTCGCATTATGTCGCCTCAATTTAACATAAGTACCATTGCTGGTACCGCCGCTACTATTTGACCGAAAACTGTCTTTGTCCAGTCGATTATCCCCCGAAGTTGATTTTGGTTCACTGTGTTTAGTGTTACTGGAAATAAAACGAAAACTACTTCAAAAAACCCAGTTGTTTGTTATTAATAATATAAAAAACATGTTTTAAGAAGATAAGCAGAAAACAGGGAAAAGAAGGAAATGTTTAATTGCAAAATTTTGTTGACAAGCGACAAAAAACTTACAGAAGCTGATTTGAGAATCCGTTTTTGCAGTTTCACTCGCTCCTTCACCTGTTCTAAATTATAAATTCGCTGTAGTTCTAAAATACCTCACTTTTCAAAATATCGATCCAAATTCCGTTCATTGGAGCTTTTTCATCAATTTTAGGAAAAGAAAGCATGTTGACACATAGTCTAACAATTTTCGGTTCAAAACAGTTTGAAATTAAAATCAAAAATAAAATGCAGTTCAGGCGTTAGAAAATAACTCGGCAAATTATGGAGGCAAAGGTAAAGATGAACAGTATTAATTCCTTAGGCACATATTATTAATATCAAATAACTACGCCTCTCTTCTCCTAAGAGCGCTTAAATATTCGAGGCTTTAACAGTTTTAAACAGCTAAAGATTATAGTCAGTATACACTAGGAAAAGCAATTGAAATACATGCTTCTGGGGAGCCTTAAAGATAAACTTTATAAAAGTTTTTGGTCAATTTTCTTTGGGGAAATGTACGTTTTATTTTTACCCAAGACTAGACGAAGATTCATATAACTCATATATCACTAGTTCACAAAGTCTCATAAATCTGGCGATAACAAAGCAAATATATATTGAACGAATAAACTACCCCACATTTTTTCGTTGAAGCTGTTCCAGCTAACGTAGTCGAATAAATTAATTAAACGAAAACTGCTTGAGTTGCTCGAAATGACACAGTCCAGTTAGCTTTCATAAACCGCACAGCAACTCAGCAACTCAGTGAACACATCCAAAGTGTCCAATTCGGGTTAGATTAATCGCTTTGTTTCGATTAATGTAGTCAGCAACTATCAGCTAACGGAGCCAGAATGCACATGCACAATCATGAAGACTAGCTGTGGAGTGGAAACTGTTTAGGTCAGTTTCTGAGCGGTCAGTAGCTAGGCGAAAGATCAGAGTTGATAGGATTAATACCCATGCTCAGGCAAATAAGCTGCAGTTTATTTTTAATTTTTATTTGGTAGGTATTTTCATTTTAAGGTAGGTATTTTCAAAATATACAAATTCAGATGCTTTATAAAATTCAAAATAATTTGATGTTTTCTACACTGTTTAGCCCAGTGTAATCCTGCGAGTGCAAGACCTCTGATGATTCATCCCACTCGTGCTAGCAAAACGTCAGGAGGAAACATTTTTTCCATAGACTTTAATAAATCACCCATATATAAAAGCCGAGTATATTCAAATAACTTGTGTTTGTGGCACCACAACTAATTCATTATTATATTCCTTTGCATTAAATGGTTACTTGTTCTGTTTGTGACCTTTGGTTTACGTTGAAAAAATTGTTGTTTTAATTAAGTACGCACTCTGCCACATAAACATCATAAAAACCTTAGTAAGCCCCTGTGGCTCGCGAATAAAACAACAATGTGGAAACTGAAGAGAACACAGACATTCAGATTTAAATCTCTTTTAATCGGCTTAGTTCGGGCAATTGGCTGAGAAAATAGATGGTTTTGAAACAAACAATGTTTCTAATGGTGGAAAATGTGTTCTTTTAAAAGCGGCTATAAAAAAGGATTAAGGGACATTGCTGGCACTTTGTAATCACTTTTTAGTTAATTCTATGCAGTGTATTCTTTGTATAAATAAACGATGGTATCAGTATTAATAATGAAAACTAATAAAGTAGTCAATTAAGGCATGCTTACAAAATCAAAATTAGATTCCATATAGCAAAATACATCCACATTAGTCAGGTTTATTTAGTCAAAAGCAAAAAAGACAAAATACATTTTCAATGTTTAAAAAAGGCAAAAAATCAGAGTAAATAATTTTTACAGATGCGTAATTTAGCTTTGCAAATGCAAACCATTTATTAATATACTTTATTTAAGGTTGTTTTCATAGCAAAGGCAAAACAGCTACATCAAGGAAACTTTAAAAAAATTTGCATCTTTCAAAATCTTTAGACAATACTTAGTACAACAGTACTCATAATACATATTTTTGCGAGATTTGTAGATACCGGGTACAAAATTAATAGTTTGCTCAACTGCGATCTTGCATTTAAAAATTCACATTATCCAAACTAAAACAATTAGCAATTTAAAATTTTCACCGTGTTTCGAAGACATAAGGCGCTACAGATATAGAGAGTCTTATAGAACCCTCATTTAAAAAAAAATTTCAGCTTATTTAAAAATAGAAATTTTACATATTCACCATGTTTAGAATAGATTTGGTACTACAGATATAGGGAAATTCATAGAAATCGCCCATCACAGATATTTTTGCTAGGTTCGGAAGTACCTTAATTGTTCTCTTTCCATTAAAAATGCATCTTCCTTAAAAGAGGCTTAGCTCTAAATATGCTGCGAGTTTCATAAAAATAGCCTTGCGTGAATACTCCCTACGAGTATTTAGAAGACCTCAATAGCTTCAGTCAGAAGCTTCCGACAGAAAGTACGAAATATTGTTTAAAACATTTTAATTTTTCCTTATAACGCTTGCAATTTCGAACTGGATTGAAATTTGGATTTTAATTTTTTAAAGTATAATATTAAAATATTTTAGAAAATTAAACTTTACACCGACACACAATAAAAATGATGAAAAATTGAAAAAAAAATTGAACGGTTTGGCAGAAAATGCTTGTTTCGGCGTATCAAATACTACCAAGCTTTAGAAGTCATATACAGTTACATACATTTGTTGTCAGTAAACTACTGGTGTCATTATTTTTAAGCAATGATTTGAGACAAGACGCATCAAAACATAGAAAAGAACATGCCAACTACATAATAAATTTTGGTTGATGTTCCCGTGATGATAGAGACCACATTGGTACTCCGGATGTATCAATGCTTCATATTTTTGGCCCAGCGATTTATTTTTGTTTCCATTCAGACATCGAACTAAATTTAGTTAATTATTTTTAAGATTGATTACTTGCACGTAATAATGTTCTTAGTCACGCAAAGCGTTCTGTTGAAATTGTTAACTAGCTGGCATTTAGTTTTACATTATTATGTAATGCGCCGCTTTCAGTTAGTACACCGTCTGGAGTTTGTATTTCTGCTAATTATTCTCGCTGAATATTGGATTCGGACATGCAAATTGTGACGGTTTCGATTTATTTTTATGAACAAAATTTGAGTGTTTTAGCTTCAATAAAGTTTTATAAGCGGCACTTACCTAGGATGGGAAAAAGTTTGCTCCCTTGGAACGTCGCTCGATAAGTCCCTGGGATCTGCAGTGCCATTATGGTGAAGTGATGGCAAAGATATCGTATAAGTTGTATCTTTCAAATCTGCAATAGGAAAATTTTCCAGTAGAATATAATTACTTCAAAATTAATCTAACGTGATTAAAAGCATTTCCATTCAGAAAAATAAGCCTAGATTAAAATCACCTGGGTTCAAGGCTGCAATGTTACTAAACACTCGTATTTTTGTAAACTATAAAATCTGTATTTTTCAACCGGTGATCAATAAATATAAATAATCATAAATAATCAATGAGTCATCTCACCTTGTATCGACCCAAGGCTTGACCTGTAGTCCGGTGTTAAAGAAACATGTCTGTTGTAAAATGGTTTTCTCAAATGGGGACTTCCCTGCAACAAGAAAAAAATTATCATCAAGTAGGTATATAAAATAGATCTTTTTCTCGAGAGCAAATAGATGAATAACAAGTCAACTAATTGGAAATTATGAAGTTTATGTGGTTTATTGAAAATATTCCTACAGTAGCAAATAAAATGTGTTTTCTTGACAAGTTTGGTTACATTTTGTGGACGGCAAATAAAATATAAACGCAGACTGAAAACAATACACAAGAAAACAGATATAATAATAATGAAAATGAGAAAATAAATCAATAATGCAAGGATAATATTACTAACAGCAAGTCATTTATTTTTAACATCTTTGACATAAAAATTACCCAAAATTGCTCAAACCACAGAATGTTTTCTATTAAGATGAAATTAGCTTTTAAATGAGTTTTAGCAGACAAAACAACGTGCAATTAATTTTTTAAATTTCCCTCTTTTGAGGAACATTTCAAATCTTGTTTTATCTATGACTCTTTAAAATATTGTTTAAGTGATTGTTTCCTTCTTTAATATTTTTTTACGCAATATTTTTACAGTATTAATTTCAGTGGTAAACTGAAATATTAGTTTTAATTAATACTCGTTTTTTTATTGATTAAATTTAAAGTTTGATGTTATAAAACGGTTTTTTTTGTTTTTTGCTGATAGTTTCGTTTTGAGTTCTTTCAGATCAGCTTAGAATTCTCAGTGATATGCAAATCAGAAAAGTTACGTTTTTTTCGATTACTGGCAGCTGGTTAGATTTTCCAGTTTTTTAAGCCGTTTTTAGATACAAATTTTACTCCTTTCACGCAATCTTCGCCCGATATTGCAAAAATCACTATTGTATACCTTGGTGTAGGCAAAAGCAGCATTTTTCATCACCTAGAAACCTAGAAAATCACCTAGAAAACTTCACCCGGAAGCAAAAAATTAAGTGTGGAAATCGCTCGTACCTTCAAATGTTTGGACATCCACGGCAATGTTTTTTTTTATGTTTGCGCCAAAATTTCGAAGGTTCCAAAACTTGGGGGCAAACGTTTTCTTTCAAATTTTTCAAAGCAAAATCTGGGCTTTTGAAGCTTTTCAACTAAAAATACGTCAAAATTCTGAGAAAATTATACCAAGATTGGATGCTTCTTAAGATTGAAGAGAAGAACTTAAATATCTAAAAAAACTCTACTCCCAATTATCAACACAAAAATTTGATATAGATCGAAAGGACTGATGTGGGTTTAAAGAAATTTGTGTGCAATTTTGAACGTTTTACATGTTTTGCATTTATCTAAATAATTTAGCAGAAAGAGATTCAAAGAAGTGAATAAAAATAATCAAACCACAGATTTGTATTGCTTTGAAATGGACATTGAAATATTTCCGGAGGTCAAACAAAAAGACAAAATATTTAAGTAAGCAAGCGGCAAAGATACAGAATATTCAGAAATGAAAAATTTCCAAATGTTAAATGGGTTTTGCAACATTGTGAACTAAATATTTGGACAACCAGTATATTTCCAAGCTGGAGATGTTCAAAAAATGTACATTTATAGGCAAATAATCGCTTATTATGTTTGTTGGTGTCTTTTCGGTTTCCTTTCCAAGTGCGTGGAATCTTTTGATATTTTTTTTGAATATCTTTGAAGATTTTCGACTCATAATTGAATAAATCGTTATCAACTTTAAGCATATCACAGCTGTCCATAAATATGTATTTTTCTACTTCCGATGAACTCCTATTTCCCCAACTTAAATATCGATCCTTGAAGTGTCCGTTGAAACTTCTATTAATTGAACAATTTATGTACATTAGTAACAAAGAAATATTAAATCGTCCTTTAGCCAAGCTGTCTATCAATTTGCATAATGTCGACCGAATTGAAATCGGTCTGCATAGTGAATTGAATTATCGCTTCCTTTGTAGACGGGGATTATTTGCTTAATCTTTAGACGAAACGGGCCTGAATCTGACTGGGGAGTTAGCTGAATACTCCTAAGAGGAGACGACGAGAATCCTTCATCTGAGAATGGATATATATAAGATTTTTAGTTTTCCAAACTAGTTTTGGATGCAAATTTGAAATTTTGAATGAAAAATCATAATAAAGATATTGTTAAGTGAAACTGAGCCACATGACAAACCATCGAAACTCGTTTCTTAACACTGATTAGATCCATTAGAGCCGAAAAATATCCACCCAACAGCAAGGTGGAATATCTTCGCATTATTGGATTACACAGTGTTTTGACGGACACATTATTATAATGAAATCGGCACGCGGACAAAGGTGAAATGGGATTCCCATTAGGGTAAGTGCTTTTTTTAGCTAGCGACGTATTCATCAACACTTCTATCGCGATTTCCATAAGGTCACTGAAAACTTCATCGCGAATACGACAGAAGTGTTACAATGGAAAATGCGCGCCTTTCCAAGCAGAAAAAAATCGACAAACACGCTGCGATTGCTTTCACGCATTGCTGAACGGAAAATGCAGTATTGAATTATCGATATAATTTATATTACTGCATTAGTAATAGGTGAAAGATGATGTTGGCATGTAGAACTGAAGTTACTGAATGCGATAGGACTTTAGCAGGAATCAATGCTATTATTTTTAACCCGACAACTCTCTGAGCGTCAAATAATGAAGGTTGCAAGAGCCAAAGAAACCTTATGGAAATAGTTCTATCAATTAATTCAACTGCTTCTTCTCGTAAAGTTCAAAATCGATAAAAGTGATCAAGCAATTCCCGTCGCAGATCCAATGGATCCAAATCAGGAATTCGCGCTGGCCGAAGCATTGGACAAAGTTCCTTTTTGATTCCCATATAATTAAAAAGTTACGGTTTGCTATTGTGATTCAAACTTGATGTAATGTTTCGAGTTTTCTCAGATATGCGAAAGAAATACCCGCATATCAATGTAACTGTGTATACTCTCATTACATGAGTTTTATCACACAGCTGAACACTCTATTACAAAGCTGCTAAACTTGACTTTATAGCCTCACCTCAGAACATCAGCATTAATTGTTTGCAAGCGTATTTCTGTCTTATATAGGCAATTTTCTTGAAGCAAAGCTGATAAAACAGTAGAGGAGTAAATCTTCTTTAAATATTACTTCATATGGAGTTTCTTCCAGCTCTCAGGTTGGAGATCAGAAACATGCGCAAAACATTTTGCTAATGTTCTTGTTTGTTTGCTTATTAGAAAGTTTGAAAGTCTATTATTACAAACCTCCTAAACAGAGCGACGCGTTTTGAATCACCGTGTGTAGAAGAGAATAAAATTTCCATAAACAGCTGCCGGTGTGAATAATTCGTTTTACTCAAGTAATATATTTGCAGACGAAGTCTGTAAAAGCCAGTTTAATTCCGCACGTTAAAATTTTATTTTTTACAGCTGAAACTGTTCCCGGCGCTTTTAATGTCAGTTAGGCTGAACCAATTGCAAGTGGATTCCTCTAAGTGCCCTGTATTAATATTGTCTGGGAAATATTAAATAAATGGGGATTCTCAGGGGGGAATATTGGGCAAGAGATGCGAACGTTTTAACCTATCAGTTTTTTTTTCAATCAGTTACGCAGTTTTAGAGTGTATTTATTTATATCTTGTGCGATGCTGCTGCATTCCGTTATCACCTAAAACCATTGGGCGACCATTTAAGAAACACGCAAAACCGCTAATCCGCATATAATTTAAAAACGTGCAAACCTCTCATTATTTATATTTTTATTTCTGACACCTCAATGCGGACGATAAATCTGTTGCGGATTGGTGCCAAAAATAAAAAACTTATGGTTTTCCGTTGTTCGCTAATACATCACACGTATTTCAATAAAGCATTCCGTGTTGTAATTATATGTTATTGTTGACATACCGCTGGCCAAATCGTTTTCAAGTGTCCACTGAAACCATTTGCGTTAGATAGGTGAGGCAGAAAATCGGAAAAACGATTTCTTATATTGAAAATTGAAATTTTCCACACTATTTTCAGCTTTTTTCATTGACATTTTAATGTTTGACTCATTGATTAAGTGCGCACTGCTAATGCTTTAAAACATGTTTGGAAACAGATGGAAAACCTGGTTTGAGCCAACGGAAATGCACACATTCCGCTTGAATATCCCGTTTTCGAAAACTTTCGGCCCTCTATTAACAAAACTTTTATTAAAAAAATAACATTAATTCTATGGCAGCTATTCGTCGTTATACAGTGTGTTCATACCTAGTGGGCAACTTTTCAAAGCCTTTCTTTAATACGAAGTATGTTTGCTACCTATGGAGAATTTTACATCCTGAAAGTTCAATCCGTTAACGAAATGCACTTTTTATTTTTTTTTCTTCATTGTGTAAATACAGCTAACATTCGTAGGTTTCATAAAAACATCATGATTATTGTATTGCATTTGTAATTACAACTTTAATTCAGTTTTCCAGCCAATTGAGAAATTTTACTGTTAAAAATGAGTACGCTTTTGAAGGAAAAAAGACCCCTTTTTATATTTTTAGACCGTAACTTTAGAGATTTTTGAAGAAACTATTTCAGAGGATTACCTTTAAATGCATATGAAGAATTTCGATTGGGGGCCATTATCGAGCCTTTTGCGTTGATTTTTCACTTCAAAAAATGTATTTTTAACTATCTGAGCTACTGATTCAAACAATCTCGCATTTAAAAAAAGTTTCGATTTTGCACCATTATTAAGCTCTTTCTGTTATTATTCTGTTTACGACCTTTGACGAACATTTTATTGTCAACTTTTTCAATTTTTTATAAGTAATTTAAACATAAAACACTTTATTGTGCATACTGGGGAGCTTCTTAGATCGACAACCATCAATTTAGCTCGAAAAAGACGCATGAGAAATTTTGATTTTTGAGCATTTTTTTCTTAAGGGGTAGAGGTCGATTTTTTCAAAAAATGGCAAATTTCTCAAAATGCCTTAAATTCTGTATTATTTTCACAACAAAGTGGCGAGGAAAGCATTGAGCTCATTGAAAAACACGCTAGAAACATCAGATCCGAAATAATCGAGTTTTTGGCCAATTTTAAGAGGTTCTCAGTGATCACAATTATTAATCGACGATATTTTCCTTATTATTTGGGAAAATACTTTAGATCTGATTATCGAGAAGCTTTTTATGTTGGAAACAATTCATTCAACTGAGAAATCACGCATGTGAAATGTTGATGTATGACTGAAAAATTTTAAGGCAAAGTGGTCAAATTTTTGCCACAAATTATGTAGCATGTTATAATAAATAAGGGACGAATGCAACTAGCTGATGAAAAAGATGCATACAAACTTCAGATGCTAATAAACGATAATGTTGGTCTAGAAAATCTTCTTTATTCTATACTCGAACACTTCAATTATGCACATCGGGAAACTTGTTAGGGGAGAACCAATCCAACTCAAAAAACATGTGAATTTTGTATTTGGTTCAAAAATTTCAGGTGTCAGAAAGAAAGTGTCTCAAATCGTACACCAGTTTTATTGCACGGAATTCAGAAATCCAGACAGCTTCTAAAATAATACGCTAGATTACTCTGAATCGCAAAAATCGAAAAGTGACTTAGTTATCTTGATATTATTCCTCGTCACAAATTTTCGAAAAATCTATGCTCAAAGTGCCTCAAATTTGCTTATTTCATGCCTATTTTCATTGTAAGAATGCGAGGAATCCAGCAAGCTCATTGAAACCAAGAAACCATGTAGTCGAAAATTTTGCTCAATTTTAACCCATTTTTGTCGTCTGCCATCCTCCTTATTCCTTAAGACCCAAACGTACTGAACATTTATATCAGAAGGCTACTGAGCTCGAAGCTCATTCTTTGATGTCAGAAGCACTCACCTGCAATTTTGCCTTTTGACCAAAAATTGCCAAAAAACGTCTTGACTTCATATTCATCACAACGAACAAAAATAATTTACTCCAAGGTGGCAATGAGAAGAGCGTAAACAGCGATTGCTGTTTAATTTAATACAGTATCAAAACATTTTGGCATTTTATAAAAGATTTATTCTTAAAATCATCAAGCTATTAAAGTAATTTCATATTTCTCTTACTTAACTGTTTTTACAATCAATAATTCAACTTAAAAAATAATTAGAAAGAGAAGCATGAGCAAAGTGGCAACATCATGTCTGAGGAAAATTAATTTACAAGTTTGAATCTAAATAACTTATGATTTCAATCCCCAATATCAAAAATCAAGCACTTGGCTTTTATTAAAAGGAACTAGTGGGTGGAAAATTATTGTCCATATTTTTAAAAAAGTAATTTTTAGCTTTCATCAAGCAAAACTATTCGAACACATTTTAAACTAAGGAAAAAAAACAACAGCCACACGCCCCAACCCAACCAAACTCAACTTACCTTCTCCCTCATACTTTGCGTTCGCCCAATATAATTATTATTGGTCTCAATAATTTTCCCCGCATTCAAATCCACTGGCTTCGTATAACTAAACTCATTTAATACATCATAGTTGATAAAACTCAAGTCCTTATAACTAACACTGGTATCATTTTCCACTAAAGACTGGAGCGACTGTCTCCATTGCTGATTGCGCGTTTCCGTCAGTTCTCTGGATGGCGTTTTCTCCTTTTTCCTCACATCGCGAAAACTTAAAGAGCGCCGAAGAAAGTTCGAAGAATCGTCACCGATCGTAGCCAATTTCCTGAACAGCGATGGTTTTGAGGTTTTGACGACGGTGGGAGGAGAGCTGAGTTCCAGAGCGGACGCATATTTTCTCGACTTGCTCAAAGTATGGGCTTTGAAGTTCGGAAGTTGCTGGCTGAATGTGTCGTACGTTTCAGTCTCTTCCTCGTTTTTGTGGTCCTTCGACTTGTGCTTGTTGATGTGGAATAGAAAGTTAAACGACAGCTTTTTCTTCTTTTTGGGCTTCGGCTCTTTGACATGTTCCGCATGGATGGTGTGCCGGTTATTAATGGAGTTCTCCTCATTTTGATCATCACGTCGCGCACTTCTCACCAATCGTTCACTAGCGCTCCGTTGCAAAATGCCAGCATTGACAAAATTGTTCTTACACTCAATGGGGTCATCGTTATCCCAGTCCTGAACAACAATGGAGGTGGTTCTGTGAACTGCTCGCGTATCTTTTTCGTCTTCACTGATTTTGCGGTTCCGAGCCACTACCTTTGATCCTTCAGTTCTCTTCAAGGCTTCATCAACTATTTCTTTGATGAGATTTGCGATGAATTCGGTATCTTCGTCTGCCCTGGTTTCCAGTGGCATTTTCAGTGCTCAACATTTGCGATTCTTCATTTGCGAGTGCCAGATGCTGTGAGAGAAAAATACGGATTGAAGAAAAATCATTCTTGGGAAGCTTCAGAAAGACCAGCAGCAATATTGTTTGATTATCGTGTTTCTATTGTTGTTTAACTTGAAAATTTTGACAAAATCAAGGAGAAAATGCAAAAGTTCCTTGCAATTCTGCCAGTGAATCAATATTAGTTTAGAAAATACAATATTCCTTCTCCTATGAGTTTCAATATCCGATGTTAATTAAATTGCATTCTAAGAGAAGCGAACTTTAGTTGACGGATCTTGCAGAACCAAGAATAAACGTTAAACGGAGTACTAAAGTAACAGATATTGACATTAAAGAAACCAAAGCCTTGCAATTACAAATGTGTGTTCTTGCGATTTTAACCAAAATCTTCGCAATTTTTATTAACATATCAATCCTCATCTTCCATTTAGATAAATTCCAAGGCTTTGTTCTCCCACGACGCGCTACTTCAAAATAAGGTTTTTATGCCTATGAACGAGGGATTACTCTCGCCTCTTTATCGAGAATTAATTACTTTTACACCTTAAAAGCAATATCGTGCTCGAAAAAGTACAATAAGTGAAAGTTTAAGTCGCTTAGCATGTGTAAGGTTGGTAAGTGGGTGTTTTATTGTTCGAATCATCGTCCTTGGACACGATCAAGATTAAATTATTTCGGACGTAAGCGGCTTCAAATTCGCCTTTTTGGTTAAGGCGAAATGAAACAGGGGCGTCGTAGTGGTTTTGCAAAGGTTTCAAGGCATTTTTTTCTCATTTAAAAATGATGACGCTAATTCTAAGGCTAACATTTACCTAGTCCGATTTTTTTTAAATATTTTGCATCTTCAAGTGCCTTGAATAAATTTTCAAAACAGCAACTTTCTACTTGCTCCATTTTCAAAAGCAGGATTTTTTTTAACCGAGGAAGTCCTTGGGTTCAAACCTTTTTTTAGGCCAACATTTACAAAATTCGCAAAAACCGACGCAACTTTCTCTGGCTCTAGATGGGGAGCTATAATTTTTTAAAGCACCAAGCGGATTGTGGCAAAAACGTTCATTTTTAGGTCGACACTTACGAAGTTCGCAAAAATAAAAACTTGATTTAGATTTAGCTTCAATTTTCAGCATTTCAGAATCGAGTGTCTTCTAAAAATGTTCATATCCTTAATTTTCGATGGGCGCTCGATTGAGAGGCAAGCGTGCACTTGGGTTAAAACCTTTATTTTTAGGCCAACATGTACAAAGCACGCAAAAATCAAAAGTTGGTGCTATTTTAACAAAATGTAGAGCGTTTACAGGCGCAAATGTCAAATTTCTACTTGTTCCATATAGAAGTTGCAGAAGTTGTTAAGAAGTTGCAACATTGACCGATCCTGCAAAAATCCTGAGTTTCCATGCAATTTAATTGAATTTTCATAATCTGCAGAATCAAGTGTCCTGATCTATATATCGATTTTAAAAGCCGCAACCTTCTACTTCGTTTAGATTGAAAGGTAGAAATTTTTAAAAAAATTTTAAATGGGTCGTTGAAATTGGAAATTTTTGCTCCTAACATTTTACACGAGAAGAGGTTTTTATCGAACCTAATGAGGCAAAAAACAGTTTTTGCTGTTTTCAAAAATCAAAAAGCTGAGCAGTCAAAAGAAAGTGTCGGTTTTCTCCTCAAATATTTTTTTGCATCTAGCCAAGTCTGTGTGCCGATTTACTTATGGCTTTTCAGCGTTATTACAAACCTGCCAACATTATATAGGCTGCAATTTATTCGGAAATTAAAATTTTTGCTATAATTAAGCCAAGAAAACGTCGATGATCCGGTAAAACCTGCAAAGATCTGACACAAATCTGAACAAGTGAAAGGCGCTCAATCTTACGAATACAATCAACCATTGCGTAGACAGGATAACATGCAATTTACTTCGACACAATTAGGTTGACGAAGTAATCATTGTTATGGGCAAATGAACGGCTTTTAATTTCGATAGCGACATGTTTATATGCCGCGATTTTCTGGCATCCAAACAACTATGCAAGCAGAATCGGCGGAAATTAAGACGTGGTAGATGCGGGAATGTATAAACTTTAATGTGTTTATAAATTCGCCAGATCTTACTACTTTGGCAAGCGAATCTGCTAGTAGTATGTTATAATCCTTTCCAATTACAAGTTACATAATTATTTCGTTTCAAAAAACACTTTAACAGAATTTTTATTCGGTTAAAAATTCGGTTCCAGAATCCGGAATACAGCTACTATAATCTTTGGGTTGCAAACATGATAAAAAATGCAATATTTTATTAAAATTAATCCAAAAATTGAAAATAATTTGTTATATTGGCCTCAAAATTTCCTTTTCTCAATATGATTGGGAAAGACAGAAGTTTCCACTTGCTCTAGATGTGCAGCTACGTATTTTGAAAGTAGCAAATTTTGGTGGAAACGTTCACTTTTAGGCCGACCATCAGCAAGTCTGCAAGAATCAAGTTTGGTTCGATTTAAATAAAGTTATCCGCATTTATAGGAGCACGTCTCTTGCATAGATTCTATCGCTTCAACTTTCTACTTGCTCTACATTGACAGGCAGGATTTTTTTTAGCGGAGAATGCATTTGGGTTGAAATCTTTGGTTTTAGGCGGACATTTACCGAATTAGCAAAATTATAATTTTCCTGCAATTTTAACAAAATTTTGTTGGCGCGTACAGGGTCCAGTGATTGATTGGTTATGAAGCAAGCTTCTACTTGCGCTAGGTGCGAAGTGACAAATTTTTACATTATGTTCATTTTTACACCAATATTTACCATGTCCGCAAAAAATACAAATTTCGTGCATTTGAATGAAATTGTCAATTTTTACAGATTCAAGTGTGCTCTAAAAAATCTGAAAGTTGCAGGATTGTACTTACTCAATATTGTAAGTTGCGATTTTTCAGAGCCGATGATGCACTTGGTTGAAACCTTTCTTGTGCACGCCAATACTTAGCAAATCCGCCAAAATAAAAGTTGGATGCCATTTTCAGCATTTACAGATTCAAATATCGTCTATAGAGCTTCAAAGCTGCAAGTTTCTACTTTCTCTCCATGAGAAGTTAAGAATTTTCATAGCAGCACCAAAAACCAAGATATTGGGCGATTTAAATGATATTTTAGCCAGTAAGCCATTGAAGTGCTACTTCACCAACTTGAAAGTTGGAAACTTCTGAGGAACAAAATTAGAAGGTCCACAAAAATCAATATTTGATGCAATTTTAGCAACATTTTCAGAGTTCGTAGATACAAGTGTCTTCTATTAATTGGCACATTTTTTGTTTCATCCACAAGAGCAGAGAATAACTCATCACGTGAAATAAGTGAAAAAAATTTAGTATGAAATTAAGTGTTATCTAGTAGGCTCGGGAATAGTCACATCAAGTGCACATCAAGCTAAAACGATAATAATAAAAACATTCCTAAAATTCCTAGATAAATTTAAATCCAGTTTTATCGACTGTAGCTAGAAGCAAACAATATCCCCATTTACAACCTAAATGCTGAAAATTGTCAAACATCTTGTGCACTTGAAATAATCAAAATCTAGATCAAACTTTTAAAACACTGAAAATCTAGTTAATTATAAGGTCAATGGCAAATGATTGCTTGACGACCGATTAACGTTGAAAGTGAACAACTCTACACGTTCCACTACGAGAAAAATCATAATTGAATTTGAAGCCACATAAACATTTTTGTTTACGCCAATTTTCAATCTAGCTATTTCCCTTGAAGTAGGACGGTCTTGATTAAGTCTTTGACATTTTGATTGCAATAAAAATTTCTACTGTAAACACGCGAATTTGCCCTTGATCGCTTTATTTGAAATCGTTGCCTTCATGTTTTTATGAAAGGTGGCTTTTCGCTTCTCTGCCAAAATCCAACCATCAGATAAACGTAATTTATAATTGACAATTAACTCAAGTTGGGTAATGTACTTTCTACTAATTTTTATAGAAGTAATAAATTGCCAAGGAAAAGCATGCGAAATCACTATTAATTTTTTAAAGTAATAAGTCTGTTGGAAATAGGACAAAAAAACTAAAGGTTTTGTAAATAAAACCGAAAATCCACTCAAGAGAAAACAATAAATAATTCTCCATCTGCCCACCACACATGAGCTCGACCAAGATTGGGTTTCATATTGCGGTAAGTTAACCTTGGTACTGCTGGACCAATTCAACATGCACTTCTCAGAAATGTGTTCTGTAAGAATGATATATTTAACACATTACCTCAACAACTATTAGTCGATTCCGATATTTTAGCAATTTTAATGGGTGACTTTGCAGAAAAATCACGAGATCTGTTTGGAATTGGCTCGTTATGACATTAAAACGTTTCAAAATCTGCCTAGATGCATACATTTGCATTTTTTCTTGAACTGAAGCCAATTTTAAGTGATTAATTAAACTATTAAAAAATTAGTAAAGGATTACTTCGCAAATCATTAGGAGCAATAAGAGACACGCTATCGCGATTATTTTCTTATGTAAGTCCAGTTAGAAATACAAATTCCTGTCATTAATATTTTATAAACATTCCGATATAATTCATCAAACATATGAGACATTAGACTCGATTAGCGTGATTATTGAACGTAGCCATGCAGAACTAAACGAAACGCACAAAGTGAGAGCCTGACAATAATTGTACCCATTAGATAATAAAATCATAACTATTAGATAACGCGCAATTATATCGCGAGAGTGTATTATTAGTGCTACAAAATATTAAAATTCACTTTAGATTTGTTGCGCCATGAACGAGAAAATGACATGCAAATAAGGAAAATGTTAATGTGCACAGCTTTGGTTTTAATTAGGTTATATTGTTATGCAAATTAATTTCTAGTGACTGATTGCATGCGGAATTTTATGTTTTGTTTGTTTAATTTGTCACACATTCTCGGAAAATATTCCTGTTTATATTAGCAATCTGAACGAAACATCGCTGGCTTTATGTGGTAGCATTCTACTTTTACG